ATATCTCACATCTCGTAAAAAAAATTGTGGCTTTCCACGATATCAAAAAAAATACAATATTCGATATCGGTTAATATAAAAATTGAAATACGATAAATATCAAGGCCTAATTTTTTTTCTTGAATTCTACATACTGATGTTCGATTAATGAATAAATCAACAAACAAGTAGTTATACAACGAATAATAAGATAATATATTTAAAACATACCATTTATCATATAATGACTTCATTTAGAAAGCAGTTTCAATGAGAAATATAAATTAAACGAAGCAATATTTAATTGCTTGCTTGTTTAGTACGAATCTGATAAATGCATTAAAAAAATTAGTTTCATGATTTTTTTTTTAATTCTATTATATATTTGCACTAATGAGGAAAATAGTCAGTCTAGTTATACATATGTTAATCTGAAGAACAAATTCTTCGATTTTGAAACTATTTCAACAATAAAGAGATAATAGATAATTATTTATAATTATATGAGAAGTGGTAACAATTCAGTTGTGGGATTCTCTAAATATTTTATCGACAATTGTCGCTATCGTTAACTAGCGACAGCCAATGACAGCCATGCTTTCTTCTAGGATTAGCCTGTCATTGGCTGTCGCTAGTTAATGATAGCGACAATCATTGATAAGATATTTAGAGAATTCCGCTACTGGTCATTAAATAATAGGTAATAATAATAGCACATTTCAATTATTCCGATCTTTAAGGAGGATCTTTAATTATTCTTAAATCTTTGTTATTTATAATAGTATTCCTTGGCTATTAGTTATTATCTCTTTGACAATTATTCTGATTCATCTGTCGAATTTTGCAACCAGAAAATTGTTTGCAATTAAGCGCGATAAGAATATTGAATTATTTAAGGCAGAAAAGTTGATATAACTATCGCGATACACGCTTTAAGAGAAATCTATGAAAGGTACATACATTTATTTGTATTATATTTAATTGTTTATTTATTATATTTATTTATTTGTTATATTTGTTATTTATTTATTATATTTATTTAATATAAGAGATCTTATATATCTTCCCGATGCTGATCGCGCAGCCAGCCTCAGGAATCTCGTGCATAGTTCGATCGTGGACACTCGCGAAGGATCATTACCGAATAGTCACACTTTTCAACCGGCCGACAAAGCTATCGTGGCATTTTAATGGCGCGCCATAAAATGCACGATCGATCGGTCGACTGTATTTGGACAGGACGACTATCGCGCGTCGCCTTCATCTCACACTGCACACGCTCGCCGACTTTTTGCCAGTCGAGGTGGAATGACCGGCCCTGAAACGTTCGAGCGTGTATATGCATTATCCGTCTCCGGTTTATTTCTAGCGGTTCGCGAATTCGTGGTAAGCGCCTCCTCTCCACGCCGTACTCGTACCCGAGTGATGTCATCCCCTGAAATCGCTGCGGCGGGGTGTTTAGTTGCGTAAGAATCGACCGGCAAGGAGAACTCATTGTCCGTAGTCTCCCTCCTTTCTCCCGCTCCGTCTGCTATAGATGCGAGGATGAAAAACAAGCGTGCATACTACAAAGTTAGAATTGTGTACATATAATCTTTCCCATTTAGCTATCTTCAAAATCACGTAATTTTCTTTCATATTCTTTTCTTCTTAAACATTTCTTATATATATATATATATATATACTTTTGCAAATTTTATTATTTAGATATTTATTTCTTGTTTCAAAGCTCTCTTTGAAACAGATAATCTTGAAATTATAATTACTTCGATTTAACATTTATATGTATATTGATGCTTATTTCTACAAATGTAGATTAATTTAGGTTTAACTTACTCTTTATTTTTTTGTAATTCTTAAAACTATAGAAAAAGATAAAAAGTAAACAAAGTGTCTTAAGACCGTAAATGTAAATATACAACTGAATAACAAAAGTCTCAGTTTAAGCTAGATCTTGTAATATACTTAAATAATATTAGTATAAATTTATGTATATAAAATAAAGAAATATAAATTAAATTAAAAATTAATTTATATTAGTACAAACAAGAGATCTAAGTACCATGACAAATAATCAAATAATTAAGAAAATTAATTAATACAAAATAAACGAACAATGAAGACTGTAACATACGATGTAATATTTCTCTTTTAGATAAAATATATACAACGCAAAGAAAATTCATTTGATGGAAAGTTCAGTTAGATATATATACTGTGAATTTTATTTCTTCGTGCGAATGTGATTATTTAAGATCGATCAAGCAGCGAAGAGAAATTAATGCACATATTAATGCACGTGGCGCACCTGTGATCCCGGAAAGTTTTCTTGGTGTCATTTAAATACGACACTGACCTATCGACAAAGCTACCTCTTAGAACAAGCTGCGAATGATAAATAGTATCGCAAACACGCATCGCGCGGTGACCTGTTTATATCCCAGTAGACTTTCATTATTTCTTCTCTCAACGCTCGTCGCTGTCGAACGTGCAACATGACGAATTCTAAATTTGCAGAAAATACTCGTTTCTCCCGATTCACTTTTGTTCCTCGGAAATATGCGCGATCGAAAATCAAAATGGATTCTGTTTTCTGCAACAGTTGATTAAAGTCGCAATTTGCTGTGTTTGTACTTACTTCCGTTCGTCTTTTTTCTCTTTATAATTGATAAGGTTGTTGACTCGCACATAATGTAAAGAAAGAGAGTAGGCTCCGACGAAATACTATCTGACAAATTGCGCGCCAAAAATCTCGATCTGTATTCCTGTGGCACGTCGACCGTAAACCTTGATAATCTCATTGACTGATGATCAAGATTCCGAGATCATTCTCGTGCCGGTGACACTCGCGTGTGATCTGGCTACAAAATTGATGCAGCAGATGTACATAAGCGACATACCTTCACCGTCGTAGTGCAGATGCATAAACTTTGGCGCGAAGTCTTGTCTTTTGATGTTAATAATCCTTTAATTATCCAGTATATTATCTGGGTAATTAAAATAAGAACAGATTACGAATTCTGTTCAGAGAATCATATTAGCACATCTTAAGACCTTACTTAAGACAGTCTTTAAATAAGAACCAACTATAAATACCGGTCTATATTCATAGTTATGACAAAAAAAATTGTCAAATTAATTATATACCTAGAAATAAATGTGATTCTTAATTTTTCTCAGAAACAAGAATATATTTTGGAAATTCTATTGATTAAAAATGTTGTTTTAATGAAAAATATTTCTATGTAATATAATCTGTAAGATTTTTATTGTGCATTTTCCCGCTTCTGTCATAATTTGAGAAGTAGTAATAAACAGGAGCCATAAATACATACTGAAATCTCTTTATACATAATTGTTATTATCATAGTTTTTATACGGTCGATTATATGATATATTGATATATGATATATCATAGTTTTTATACGATATTATATGATATATATGTATTGTTCTTGACATATATATCATATTTAGTGATTCAAGATTGAATTATTTAAAGCATTTTAAGATCTAGCTTCGACCGTATAGGGCTCTTATTTATCGGTTGTGTTTCTCACATACGCGGTCTGAAAAATGATACATAGTTTTTATGTTTTTTATTTGAAAAAATAAATACAAAGTAAATATAATGAGAGAAGTGAATATACACGCATGTATGTGCATATTGAAAAAAAGAAGAAAATGCAATTATGGTAAAATGGTAATTTAAAAAAATTATAAAAATGAAGTGTGACAGGTACAGTAGTCTTAAACTATCTTTTTCATACCTTATGAACTTATAAAATTAAATGATAGAAATAGAAGAAAAAAATATATCATCGTGTAACTTTTCAAATTACGTGATTTTAAAAAATCACGTACTGATTTGGAACAATCCATTGCGTGATTTACATGTTTTAATTACATGATTTCGTTATATAACTTTGTGACGTAATTTTTTTCAATAGGGTAGATTTAGTCAATAGCCCTGTTATTCTATCAGCGATTCCTATTAGGAATATTGAATGATTGTATAATTTTATACAATACATAACTACGAAAATACAGTCTATTTGTGCATAAAACTATAAGAAACAACAAATTTTACCAAAATTACCAATAAATTACCATTTCACCGCAATTTTACCGTAAGTAATTATAAAATTGAATTTGACAGTAATTTTACATCTCTAATGGTGATAGTTGGAAAATAAAAGAAATCGAGCGAATAACGTCAGTGACGATGAACAGAGCCGTATTAGCATCTTAAGGTATTACTTGAGACAATTTTAAAGTAAGAACGGATTATGAATATCGACCATAGACATAGAATGCGTTCCGATATTCACTGCCAGTGCTGAAACTATACAGTATACGTTACGTGCACTATATATTTTCAGCACTGACAGATATCGGAACACACCCATAATCTATGTCATAATGGCCAGAATTCATAGTCCGTTCTTATTTTAAAATCATCTTATGCAATGTCTTGAAATACAGTCTTCTTGTGATCGGCTTATGACATCTTAAGACGGTCTTAAAAATCTCTATTTAAGACGGTCTTAAATATAAGATCCGACTAATTGTAAGAATATTGACTTGAGTCTAAAGATGAAGATTATCGCCGTCATGTCTAATCAACAATCGCGATCGCTATTAATCGACGACTGCCGTGTCTGGTTTATGTTGTGAACACGCGCACGCCGAAGGGAACGATGGTGAGTGGGTGCGGTGAGAGATTATTGTTTATTCATTCGAGGATTATCCTTCGGCGAGTTCAGTGGCTGCGCCTACTTACAGAATGACGGTAATCCTCTCGCTATTTTTTACACCCTCCCACCAAGCGTGGCTCACCTCCACACGACAAGAGGGACTGCGATGGAGGCACGTTTGGGTGGTGATTTATTTATAGCCGCGCGATTAAGGTGCGCGAGGATCACCTTCATGCAAAGGAAGAACAAAAAATAAAACGAGAGAGGAAAAAGGAAATTTGAACGAGACTCTTGTCGCCTCTTATTTCTTTATGTTCTTTGCAGGCCTCATTTGCGCCGAGGGTAACCTTTGGAAAGACCAAAGAAGATTTGTAGCCGGATGCCTAAAGAATTTCGGTATGACGAAGTTACCCGGCACCAAGAGAAACAGACTGGAGGAAAGGATTCTTGCGACCGTGAACGAGTGCACGTCGGTAAATTAAACGCTTAGGGTATTTAACACAAGGCCATCATGTCACTAAATCTGCCCCTAAATGAGTATATCGATGACCGAACATTTCATTCAAGAAGGAATATTCAACTACAAGTTAACATTTATTTATCTGGAAATGTCATCGCATTTAATGAAGCTATTAATTTTTGTGACATTTTGATGCCATCGTTTTCGTTAAAAAACAAGCACTCATGTACGATATCGAAAGAAAGTTTTAATTAATTATCCGTTGTATTAGGAACAAACATAAGAACATGAATTTGAAGTATTGCAAATGTGTTTTTCAAAATCATTCCGCGTTAACTAAAAGTATATGGACAATGAAGCAACTGAAAATAATTATGTGATATCTTCCTACAACCAAAATCTGGACATAAGACGTCTTAAAGATGTCTTTTAGACATTATGCAATCCATTTAATGCTACACGAAAAGAACAATATAAATAATTAAAATATCTAAAAATTTAGTTAGGTATACATCTGAAAATAATTTTATTAGACCGTCACAATAATTATGCAGAAAACTTTATCATGATGAGAAATGATGCAAAAAGTTTTGACATTTTAGCAGCTTGAACGTCCTACATAATTATTTTGATAGTTCAACAAAATTATTTTCAGATCTGTAGCTTTTTTAGATACTTTGACAAAATCATCTTTTTCGCTTTAAAGCATTTGTAGCATCAAGTGGACTATAATCTATATCATAAGATATCTTAATTCGTTCTTTTCTTAAGATCGTCTTAAGATGCTAATATGGCTTTGTGATTGACTTATGACAAGATTGTACTTAATACAGTCTTAAATATAAAAACTAACTATGAATACGCTCTTAAAGACGTTTTTAAGACATCTTTAAGAGCGTATTCATAGTTAGTTTTTATATATGTCTCGATTTTGGACATGCGTGCTATTTGAGTCCTTTATTGATATCTTAGAAACTAAAAAAACTTACTATGGAAAATGGTATTGATCCATGCGAGACGCTTCATCATTACGTGGGTAATATGATAAATGACCTCGTGTTTGGTAAAGTTTACAAGGAAGACGACGAGGTATGGAAATGGCTGAGACACTTGCAAGAGGAAGGAGTCAAGCATATTGGAATTGCAGGGCCGCTCAACTTTTTGCCGTTCTTCAGGTATGACAATATTTCTGATTCCCACAATTCTTCCCACCATTTGCATAGTACGATATTTTATACTTCGGTAACGAAAAGTAAACCGCATTACCGAAAAAACTGAGTAAATTAATTTACACTACTAATTAACACGCTGATGATGCGACAATAATCCATTCAACGTCTATCATGCAAATACTGTGTTTTTCATCGAAGGCGGTGTCTTTTGATAAACATAGAAAGATAAGCAACTGCCTTTTTGTACGTATACACAAGTGATAAATTGAATCGAATAGCAAACGGTAAATACAAATCATTGTTAAAAAAAAATAACACGGAGGACAATTTTATTCACGTTAAATTATTATGTTAAATTTACATAAGTTAGTAAACTGGAAGACAATTGACAAAAGTTATAAATATAAAATCAAATTAGCTTATTCTAACGATGGTAAAGCGGATGTAAGATAACGTAATTATATCATTAATACGAGTAAATTGTAATTATTGACACATATTCGTTATTTCGAATTTCTATTTTACTTTTATATATCTGTATTTAAATAATTAAAACTTATTCAAACTTACCAAACGTTTGATAAAATAAAAAAAATATGACAAAAATTATGGCATAACAAATTATGAATTAATTTAAGATATAAAGTAGGGGAGACCGGGGTCAGTAAACTATAGGGGTAAGTAAAATAATCGAGGCTACGTTATAAACAAATCGCGCCAGACACGCGTAAACTCGTCTGAGCACGCAGCAGCGACTGCCGCTCAGTCTGCTGTAACATCTCGTTCCTAACACATCTATGATAGAAGTTACGCTACAATTTAAAAAAATCGTACACCTAAGTAAACATTTTTATTCTTAAAGTTTTTGTTTTACAATTGTATATAATTGTCTGAGATATTTTATTTCCATTTAGGTAGTAAGCATAGTTCTTACTTAATAAAGTCCAACAGATTTTTTTTGTTTATCTGGTTTTGTTATCGTATACTGTTAATGTTTTTAAAAAATGAACGGATGAGGCTAATAGGCTAACCACAATACGAGGCTATATGATTAATTTAGTGACGATTCTGATAGTATCTACTCCCAAACTTCTTGAAATGAAATCTCGATACAAATTGATAGAAATCTTATCGTTCTCAATCATTCTCTATCAACTTTTTTTACCAGTAATAATAGTTAAATTACATGTATAAGAAATTTTTCATGCATATGTATAAATATGTATAAACATATATAATATGATAAATTATATACGTTTATGAACATTTATACATAAACATGTATAAATATTCATAAACATATATAATTATATATGAAACATATCCATATATGTTCATACATCCTTCTTTCTTTTGTAAAATTATTTTTAAGTGTAATAGAAGTAATAATAATAATGTGAAAATATTAAGAATAATTAAAAGTATAATTTTGTGAACATGCGTGTGGATACTCTAAATGCATAAAGGGTAACTTATCGTATTATGTTTGTTATAACTGTAATTCGGATAACGATTCGGATTAGATAAATTGTCATTTAGTACAAAGTTATACATTTTTTATAATAAATATGTTTGTGTTTAAAATACATTTTTATAAAATTTTTGTTATTATGTAGCCAAAGATGTACCTTAAAATATTTATTAATCTTCATTTTAATAATGTTAATCAAATTACCCCATACCATCAGTCATTTTACCCCGGTCCCGGGGCTAGTTAAATCAGATGGAATGCATTAGAAAAATACATTTTTTTTCATAGTAATTATCAGTTTTCCCTTATTATTAAAATATTATTAGATAGTCAAATGTATGTAGTAACTAGCGTAGAATTCATTTTTTCGATAAGTTTCTTAATTTCGTCTATAAAAATTCGAAACTAAAAAATGAGTCTACTATCACCGGTCTCCCCTAATATACAGGATGTCCCATTTTAAATAATGCATTAAGATTTCTCGAAAACTATGATAGATACGGAAAAATGTTTCAAACAAAAGTTGTATGGTTCAGAGGAGACATAAGAAGGTACCATTGATTTGACCTTGGGTGGTGTCGTCAAAGCCAGGTCAAGGTCACATCGATTTTTTAAAATGGAACCCTCTATTTTTCATTACATTTTCTTGTAGCTTACCTCGAAAGCTTTTCAAAACCCTATAATAAAATATTTTTTTATTAAGTATTTTTCGAGTTATAAGGCTCGAAAGTTACAGTACAGCCATTAGCATTACGCAAGTTGTCCGACCGACGGCTAAAATCTCTTGAATGTTGTTCAGGATCATGTCCTGGATATCATTCAAGGTCATTGGAGAGGTTGTACCTCTTATTTTTATTTTTACGAAAAATGAATTTTTAGTGCAAAAATGAAAATAAGAGGAATTATCTCCAATGGCCTTGATCTTGACAGATAGTACTGCGCAGTAGTATTTAGAGGCACTACCCTGATGAGAACACGTATGTGGTATGCACGTAGAATTCCACGTGTTTATGTAGACTACGTGGATTAAAAATTTATTCACATAATATCCACATGAATGCAACGTTGACATTTCCTTGCCAAATCGAAATAAATTTTCCTCAAAATTTCAACGTGGATTCTTCCACATAGATTTCAACGTAAACACTTCCACATAGATTTCAATACGTATAATCCACATGGAATTACTGATGATATTTAACGGGAATAAAAATAGGAAATAATAATGTGGAATTCATGTGGATAAATTCACATCGATTTTCACTCTGTGCATCCATGTGAATTGCACATTATTATTTCCTATTTTTATTGAATTATACGTATTGAAATCTATATGTAGAAGTGTCTACGTAGAATTCACGTTGAAATTTTGAGGAAAATTTATTTCGATATACACATATACACTCAGTTCCAAAAAAAGCGGTACACTATAAATTTGGGAAAAATTTACCAAATTTCAAATGATCATAACTTGGTAAATAATGAAGATAAAAATATATTTAAAACAGCAAAATGAAGCTTGAAATGTCCACTTTAAGATTATTTGAATGGGAATTGTACTAGGCCATTATTTTCAAAATGGCGGATGATAAAGTGACAACATGCAAAATTGATAATCAAAGGTCCAACTTTGCGATGGTGCATAGTGTGAATCAGGTGTCGCCGCTCAGTCGGACAATATGTATGTGAAAGTATAGAATTTTATCTTTAAAATGCTTTTTTATAACCGACCTCGATACGACTATTTTTCGCTGAGTTATTCCAAATTTAAGATAGCGCTGTCATTAGTCTAAATGCTTGTAATTTTTCCTAATATGAACTGCATGGAGTTTGATTGGTTAAAACACCACATTGTGTACGTGCGTGTTTGCGTGCGTGGTGCGTGTGTGTGTGTATGCTTCGACAAATTCTTGAAGAAGACTGAAATACAATTACACAAGATGAAATTAAAAGACTGATAAGGAGTATGCTGGATCGTATGAATAAGATAATACGCGTACGAGATCATATACACTATTAATATACACGCACGAACACACATATGTAACACACGCACGCACGCACCCATGGTGTTTCGACCAATCAAACTCCATGCAGTTCATATTAGGAAAAATTACAAGCATAATTTAGGCTAATGACAGCGCTATCTTAAATTTGGAATAACTCAGCGAAAAATGGTCGTATCGAGGTCGGCTTTAAAAAAGCATTTTAAAGATAAAATTCTATACTTTCACGTACATGTTGTCCGATGGAGCGGCGACACCTGATTCACACCATGCACCATCGCAAAGTTGGATCTTTGATTATCAATTTTGCATGTTGTCACTTTGTCATCCGCCATTTTGAAAATAATGGTCTAGTACAATTGCCATTCAAATAATCTTAAAGTGGACATTTCAAGCTTCATTTTGCTTTTTTAAACATATTTTTATCTTCATTATTTACCAAGTTATGATCATTTGAAATTTGGTAAATTTTTCCCAAATTTATAGTATACCGTTTTTTTTGGAACTGAGTTATATATATAGGGTGTTTCATTTTAAGTAATATAGTTGATTATCTCGCGAATTGATGATTTTATTGAAAAATTTTTCGAATAAAAGTTACATGGCTTGAAAGGGGACATATGATGGAAATGTGGACTTGACCTTGCGTAACCTTGTCAAAATCAGGTCAAGGTCATTAATGTTTTTTTAAATGGAAACTCCTATTTTTTATTACATATTCTTGTAGCTTATCTCGAGAGCTTTCCAAAACACTATAATAAAGTTACTTTTCGTTAAGTACTTGTTAAGTTATAAGGCAAGACCGATCACTGATCCGGCCGATTAACAGATGAGATGTATGGATAACGCCGGCGTATTGTAATTTTCAAGCTTCATAACTCGGAAAGTACTTAACGAATAGTAACTTTATTATAGTGTTTTGGAAAGTTCTCGAAATAAGCTACAAGAATATCGAATAAGAGATAAGCTATAACGATCCAGTACGATAAATCGATACACGCAATCGATCTAACTTAACGCGACATATTAAGATACTAACAACTAATTATAACACGCCGCCCGCCTTGACAAATATAACATATTCGCAACATAGATATAATTCAATTCACGAAACGTAACTTATCTATTGTATTATAATTCCTTCGTCGCAACTAATTCTAAAATACTTATTTTATATCAGATTATGAACAAGCACTATCTCTAAAAAATGTCGGTGTCATTTTAACACTGATGTGTGGAATTTGATACTAATATGGGTGTCTATATAATTCTCACCATGTTGGTGTGAAATCAACACCGTTTTTTCGGTGTGAATAATTCGCATTTTTACGGTGTGAATTTCCACATTGAAAACGGTGTTAATTTCCACACAGAAAACGGTGTTAATTTTCACACAGAAAATGGTGTTATATCAATAACTTCGCCGTTGCAGATAAGAGATAAAGAAATGAAATGTTCCATAATTAGAAAATTCATACGTTTGTCTAATTACCATGCTGCGTTTCACTGTTTAACATAGATTTATG